CCGGCGACCGGATAGTGCCAAGTCAAGGTGCCAACAACGGAATCGACGGAAGATTCAGCTATTCCTAAAGGCATATGAGTATTGCCAGGAGTGCGACGCGGATATTTCCTTAACAATTCGATTAAGACATAGCGGCGAGATTGTCTTTTTTAATTCTGACGGGTTCTGGTCTCCGTCAAAAGAGCAGCTGGTAGGTGGATCCATTAACCCTGTCAGACGTCCAGAGTCTAACCAACTTAGGCGACGTACTATCCAAGGCCCAAACAGGTCACTTGGCAGGAAATTGCGGCTCGATATAAGTCCTAATCATTTAACACAAACCCCGATACTAGAACAGAGAATTATCTAGCAGTATTACCCTATTTCTAGGCTCTTGGGCTCCGGTGATGGTGGTTGTGGGATCTACAGCAGATGTATCTGGAACAGTAGTGCCTCTACCAATCATAGTCTAGGATATCAAACATTTCTAGGCTACAGTGTTTCATATTTGCAACTCCCTCATTTCAGTAAGTTGAGCGTTGCTTAGCTTGCTCATTATCTATTGATATTTATTACCTTGCTTTCTAAATTTAGATCTCAAGGCCTTTATACAAAGATCATTGATTTAATAGTAGCAAAGTGCAGAGTGAGAAGCAGGAGTCTAGGCCACACGGGATATATCCTAGTTCAATCCTGACTCAAAACTCCCAAGTCCCCTGTGGATATAAACCAGTTACATTGATACCTATATTTAAGATCTCAATGACGGAATCAAGCAATATCATCAAACCGAAACTGCAGCCTCAAGTAATTGTTCCTACCTTGAAGCAACTAAAGGAAAAGAGGGACCAACGCAAACGAGAAAAACAAGCTGCCCTCATTGAAGCTAGTTTAAGATCTGGAAAATACGCGCTCTTTCTACAGGAAGTTCCTAAGATCAAGACTAGCCACTGCCGCGCATGGGATTGTATGCCTAGGAGAAGCACCGGGAATCCAATCATCCGGTCTTATTATCGTTTCGCTTTGAAACGGATATCTGCACGTTCTAGTACGGATGTTAATCGCAAGTGATTGGTTCTTTCTAATTGATGTATTTATATTAGGCTCTATCGAATATTATCATATCACATGTCTCGAACGACTACTTCCAGACCTCCCTAATTTTGTTGGATATGGCTACCTAAAGATGGATGGCTGGATTGCTGCTCCGCCTGATAGTCATATCTCCATAAAGTCGTCTTCCGAAGCAATTAAGGACTGGTTCCATCACAAAGGATGGTCATTTGGCATTGACTGTTACGAGTGTTTCAACAAGGACCATGATGAATGGACCCAAGATACCAGTTTTATCTGGATTGAACATATACTCAGCCACGAAGAAAGAGTAGATACGGACTGCTGCCATTGTAAATCTCTGCCGGGGGCTTCTGAGCCACAAAGATCACATTATTTTCCCAAAGAGCCTTCTGCAGTGTCACTCAGTGAGTTACTTGCGTCTGTTAGCGGGCAGCCTCACATTGACAAGTAGTGACTCTGGCGGAGGGCAAGTTGAATTCTGATCACCTGCGTTGGGCGGAGCTTGAGAATACTGCACTAGTCCTAATAAAGAGATAGTACCAACAAAGGTGATCAAGAACCATTACGATCACATGATCTACAGTAATTTCCCACCTTGTGTCCGTGACCTTAGGGCAAAGACCGTCCTTGGTAGGATATTTACCCCTCATGCGTGTCTTTTGTTCCGCTCTGCTTTGTCAAGTTTTACCTCCTGGGAATATAGTGCGTCATTTTTCATAGCAGTAGAAACTCAACAGCACCCTTAACAGCGACAAGTAATTCAGTGGAAACGAAATAGAGAAAAGAACAAAAAACGAAAAAGAAAAAGAAAAATAAAAGAAAAAAGCAAAAAAAAAGCATCATCTATTTCTCTCTCCTTACAGCAAGTTTGTTGTATTTTCTTCATGAAGCATGGTCAACCCATAATACCAAGATTAGTTATGGTTGAGGATACTAAAGACAGCATTCTACGGTGATAGCAAAATGAATTTCCTGATACACACATTCTTAATAGGGACGCGGCGGGTATATTACAACGATAATGCCAAGTTTGGTGGTCACACATATTTCTACACGAGCAAGTAGTCCGCCAACGCATATTGGAAACAAATACTCATGCTTGTAGTTTATCCACGGAGGCGCTTCGAATTACTCTCTGGTCTTCTGGAATGTTGTTGTCGGCCAGGTAGTTTGTTGCGCCTTCAAGGGTTGAGAAACCCTTGAAAAGTGAGCCTTTATATCCATTGACTAAAGATTTCGTCACATCCCTACCATATACTGTTAGGAAAAATACGTAGTTATTGGGGGAGCTATCGCACCCTCAAACTTAGTAGATAGCGTACCAAGATAAGAAAATGCCTGGGGCAGGAGAGCGGCCCTGAGCAACAGCGTAGTATTTTTGTGAAGGCATGAGCGAATTCAAATAGTAAATCGCGGATTTTGGGAAAAGGAATTAGGACGTTTGGAGTATTGAATAGTATGACCTCTTCTTACACTGGGACACGGTCATGAATATAAGGAAATCTATCGTAGAGACGAAGAGGGGACGTGACGTGGCAGTCGCAAAATCAGACATCAGCCCATATGATACAGACAAACAGCTTGCGCCTCAATTCTGTCTGTTCATTCGGAAGATCCATGCTAGCTTATGATATAAACTCTTATGGCTTAGATTAGCTGGCAGCATTCCGAGAAATAGCATAGCCCCTCCCCTCGCGCAGAGGCTGACACTAGCTTACTCGCCGAGAGTAACGAAACATATGTATAAAGCAAAGAGTGTTCCAAAAGTTTTTCTTAATTTTGAAGCCCTGTACTGTAGCAGATTCTGCTCTCTACTGCCTAGAAGCTGGAGCTCTCAATGTCCGCTACTGAAGGCCACCGTGTCAAATGTCCAACCCCTTTCGATGCTTATAGCCAAGACATAGCCCGCGTAAAGGTCAGGGATATCGAATCCCACCCTTTTGTATCCTTACACCACAAGGACACTGGGAAACCTTCCAAAATACACACCTTATGCAAAGATGCAGTCGAGCGTGGAAATGAACAATGTGTCTGGGTATGCTACAATCGGGGAGCGAAAAGTCTTGCCCGAGATGTGCCGATATTATCAGGTGAACCTCTTGAAGCACACAACGTCGAACGTATGTTTGGATAGTGGAGACGTCTTTTACTTCGTGGCCCAATCAAGATACAAATGGTCAAGGTTCGTCGAGCAAAAGCTCTTCCTGTTAACTAGAACTGATTTGAACTGCAGATGCATGTGTTACAGCAAAGGAACAGCAAAGAGGTTGAGGTTATGATATTGCCCATCAATATTGCCGCCGAAGTAGAAAGGATCGAAAGAGCGCTAGAACAATGTGAATTTTACCCAGAGTGCAGCGCAGGCTTCAGAGAAGACGGAACGCTTGTGCCATGTTCTCGCCCCAAGAATTGTAGAAATCTGACTATGGGCGGCACTGAGGAGTACCCCCAATTTTACTGCTCACTGGAGCATCACCATCGGCTAAGGCGGAAAAAGCGAAAGTTGGAGCATAGTGAGGCATTGCTGGAGTTCTACTGGAGTTCTAGAGGGAGGAGTGATTTCCTAGAATTCCTCGAATATCGTGGGTTCATCACTCGTTACAGGTAAATGATACAGCATTTAAGCAAAAAAGCCTTACTGATTATTATACAGTGACTTGGCAACCACACATTTTCTCGATGCATGTGATGATTCTGGTGAGGGAATTCCAGCTCTGCTACTCGTAGATGGGTGGCACACGCAGAGACTGCTGATTCTAGTTGGTCTAGCCGTGGCGCTTAGTATTCTTATTACCATTCTTGGGGCTGCTGTCGGACAGAGTATAAACATGGGGCTGACAGCGGGAAGCTACACATTTGCGTTGGTGGCGGTTTTTATTGCTACCCTATCCTTCTTTAGTGCTATTTTGTAATTATCTTATTGGTTGTTATTACAGTACCCTCAGTATATGTGGACTGCATGAGCCATAACAGGGTTATGAAAGTCATCCGTGAAAGCGATTCTTTTGTCTGGGCAAGCCTTACCTGCCTTTCGTTGGATACATAGCCAATGTCTCGCTGAGCACCAATACCATACTGACACGCTGTAGTTGCTGATTGGCTTCATCCTGCAAGGATGTTGTCGTTCCGTTGCTTCCTCCTAGATAGTAAAGTGGCAGGTCTCGGCTATTTTATCCCTTCCTGTAGAAGTGTCAAGGAAACGAAGACAATGCGGCACTAGCCACTTCAAGTTAAACTGAAAATAGCATGAGAAGACAGACATGGTAACCCCAGGCAAACCGGAGCCGCTACGGTTAACCGATTGGTGGTCAGTAGGGTCTGGTGATTATGGCAGTCTTAGAAGAATTATGGACCAGTTGGTTTTCTCAACCAAGATGAGGCCTTAGTGGTGCTTTTCTAGCCAGCTGTTTACTCTCAGCTTCCAGAAATATTCAATACTGATAGCAAACCCACACTCAATTAGGCTGTAATTACGGGATTCAGCTTCGTTCAGCCTCGTTCAGCCTCGTTCAGCCTCGCGCAGCAACGTCTTATAGCAATAAACAATAGGCTGATCAATCTTTAGTTGGTCTATAGGTCTTCCCTCTATTATGGAGTATTCTCTGAGTTCACTGATAAGAACTGCTGGTGAAAGTAAATTTCCGACAATATGCTACACAAAAATACTTGGACAGATAACGTTCAAAAAAATCAAATGGCTTATCAATCAGATTATGAACACATTCATTCTAAACATGGATATGCTCTACAGAAAAGACAGGAGGGATTCTTGAGTCTATGTATATAGATAAAACGGGAAAGAGGCACACGTGGCCCATTGGACGTATTTCAATGTCAGCCTAAGCGACTATACAGGCCTTCCAATCAGCACTTACCTCCAATTGCAATGAGACCAATATTTCGGCTCTGATATAATAGTGTGTTGGTACTCGCGAGTCATGTCGTTGCATTCTCATGTATGTCAATCACCTCTTTTCCCATCCGCTCCGCCACCCATCGAGGCTGTTGCCCAATACGTTACCATAAAAACACATATTGTACGAAGGCCATCGGTTATATCTCGAGATGTAGATATCTTTAGGAGAGTATTTAAGCTCGGCAGGCCTTTAAGAAACGAAGCCTAAATTCATGTTTATGTGCGACTTCAATACTTATTCCTTTGAACGCTCTGACCAGTGCTGCTTCTCCTTGACCACATTGCGTTTATTATGGCTTACTGTCAACACTGCCAGCAACATTTTCTGGATATAAAATCTCTGGAACAGCACCTTCGATCCTCTAAGCACTGCTGTGATAGATGCCAGAAATTTTTTAAATCTCCCCGTTCAAAGAAACAGCACATGGAAAATTCGAAGTGTCAGAGTGTATATCTAGTAGGCGGATCATACCACCCCAATGTCCGTTCCAAGGGGCCACAACGCGCCCGGCAAGGACTGAGTGATAGCTCTCCAATGATGATTGGGGTCACCGTCACAGATATCTATCCCGCATATCTCGGAGTGCCTCGGGATGCAGTCATGCCTATTTTTAAAATGGCATGTCGCCTTCGTTTTATGAAGCCTAATGTGGATACCTTATTGCGACATATCAACACACAATTAGATCATATGATTATCGCGGCCCTTATCGAGGCTGCCCTTCGTCTCTTGCCACCTGACAACACGCCCGAAGGCAAGGAGAGATTGCAAAAGAAAATGAAGGATGCGCAGCTAGCGGAGAACAGCTTTACCCATCAGATAAGAGCGATGGGCTATCGGTTTTTCACGGAAAGTGAGCAAAACGAACAAAACCTGCAACCAACACCTGATATTCGGTTTTTGGAGCCTGTATCAATTCATGGGAAAACGTATCACTGGTTAGAGTACAAAAGCTACTTTGGGTTCAAGGCAAACCCATTCATCGCTAAGAAAACAAGGAAGCAATTGCAGAGATACATGTCTGCTCTTGGACCAGGCGCAGTGGTCTATCGTTTGGGATTCGAGACTGATCACATAACGATAGAGGGAATCCAATCTTTTCGCGAGGCAGAAACCTTGTACTTTCTCAGCCAGCAATCCAGGGCTAAATTAAGTATAAAATAGACCCTGATTAGACCGAGCCAGGTGAAGATAGAGGCAACCTTCTGCGGACAGTCGCTAATTCCAAAATCTTCCGTTCCTGTATCCGATTTTCATTTGTCATTCTTTTTGAATTTTTATTTCGATCTATTGGTATTCGGACTCAATTCCCATTTTGAGCGACAGCACTACATTTATACAAATGAATTTTATTTATTGTGGCTCAACTTATGTTTCCTACATTTACTGGGGCAAAGCCTCTCTGGCGAAGGCTTTGTGTGTGCCCATCTTGGATCGAATTCATTTATTTACGAATAGTGTATTCGTCTGGAAGGAAATGTATGGGGAGAATTGGGCGCTGAATGGCAAGATAAGCCGTAACAGATGATACAAACATCCCTTGGACAGTCCAGGGCTTCCTCTTCAGGAATTAATGGTTCTTCAGATAGTTGACGTTCACCATCAGGAAGGGGAGTCGACGGTCGGAAGACAAATAGACTGAATACGTTTGTTCGCTTCTTTTGGCCTGGACGACCTAGAGCCCAGTGCCTCTCATCGGCGATTTCGTAGCCTTCTAGCCTGAGTGGTAGCCTTGTGGCGTAATTTGGTTGAGTAGTGAACTTGGAGGGATGATGCGCTTCGTCCAGGGAAGTGTGCAGCAATCTCCGCCCATGACATTCTCTCTCTTTCCTTCAGTCGCACTAACAGTGCATTTTCCTCTGACGTATATGGCCTTTGTTTTCCTGATGTATCCACCGGAGGGGCTTGAGCCAACATCGGACTAGCGTCTGGAACGAATGTGAAATAATATGCTGGCCTCAGTCCACTGGATTCAACGGTGAGGATGGCTCTTCCGCGGACCTCATGGATAGCACGAGAACGATGACATGGAACGGGGTCTGAACCGCCCTGTGAATGACGCAGAGGCTTCATCCTAGATTTTGGTTTCTCCTTCGGGCGCTGTCGAGTCGCGTCAGGAATTGATACTTCAGGATCCCGGTAGTCATTGCCACTGCCTCTGTTTCGAAGCCGCTTCTTGCAAGTCACCGCAGCGACCCTTGTGGTTGCCCTGGTAACTTTTCCTCGCGCCCATGGAGGTACTGGTACAACCACAGCAACCGATGGGTAGGATTCCGGTCTATCGACGCTCGGGATGGCTAGGCTAGCGGGACATTCTGGGCCAGAGGGTGCGTTCGACTGATATGGTTGGCAGGATGGAATGGACTTGTCCTCAGCTACCCCGGGATTTTCTGTCTGCTCCAGAGCATTGGTTGTCGTTGGGCATGGATCTCTATCTGGGATGCAATGTGACTTGTATGTAGCATTGTTAACTGGTTCTTGCTGAAAATCACCGCACACAGAAAGACTGCCGCCCACATTGCTGACTGATTCAGATGCGGCTGTAGGCGGCATGGAGTGGTGAGAATTTGCCGTGTCAACGGTATCGAGAATATTACTGGGCAGTCCATTTTCTTGCTCAAGTCCGTTTTTAGTTGGCGACGTCGGTGTGGAATCTTCAAAAGGTGGTGGCTCTGACAATGGTAGGGAGCATTTCATGAGACCCAATGGAGAATCAATAGTTCCTGATATATTTGTAGTAGCCAGGGACTTGCGTTCTGTGATCATTTGTGGTTGTGATGCGGCTCTGCCATAGAAATTCGATATTTCGACATCAAACACATTCCGTAGGTTTGTGGTACCAGTGGAGGGCTGTTCATGCGTTATGGGTGCCGAAGAGCCTAGTATATTTGTCGGTGCCGGTGCTTGGATGAAGACAGGCTCATTGGAAAAGAAAGAACGCTGAAAGGGCTGTGGAATATGGGTGAGAGCTGGCCGATTACCACCAGTAGAGGCCAGTGTGCTTCGAGGCCTCTGGCGGCTGGGGCCGTAGTAGAACTCTATTTGATCAAGGTTCACTTGCATCTCTCGAAAAGCCCTCTGGCATACAGCGGGTGTGAGTTTCAATGGTTATGGCAGTTATGGAAGAGAAGCGTGGGAGGACAGATCAGATAATATATTCACTGGTTGATCTGAGCAAAGCAAAAGGGTTGACAGTACTTATACGATGAGGCACTCCAAAATGGCCGTAATATGGTGCAGCCGGAGACGAACTCCATCGACCGGCCATCATGCAACGTGTCGAGCGGATCGCTGAACCGCCTCGACCAAAAAAAAAAAAAAAAAAAATGTGTCCACTGTAGGAGTGCCCGATTACTTGGTCGTAAATGGATCAAGTGGCGCTGCAGCGTTGCTATACTCCAGCACATTATTTAGAACAGTGCAGAGATTAGCCCAAAAGACTTCCCCTTTTGACCAGCAACAACGCACTGCTTGCGGCTTATTCCAAGTAGGAGAGCCCAAATTCAATCGAAAAGTGTCAGCTCAGCCGCAGCTTTCCATGAGGCATTTTTGCGATAGGCTATGGGTTCGGAAATTGGCCGGCTGGTCGATAACATGTTCAGCGATGGGCTGTTGGAGAAGAGACAACCTACTTCGATTGTTGTGTTACATTCGTAAACCGTCACAAGGCGTTTTTGGGGTCCGCGCAAGCCATCATAGAGCAAAGAGTAGATTGGTCCCACTCCACCTGCTCCGTTTTCCACCGTACTTTGCCCACCGCGTGAGGAGGGCGAAACATCCTAGCTGTAGGGTACGCGAGATACGAAAGTACTGTAACCTAGGATGTCAATTCCAATACCTAACAAAGTAAAGAACCACGAAGAAATGGTACGCTTTGACTGGATACAGTGGGATGACAAAAAAAAAAGGCCCGTCGAATCCTGCAGGATAAGCTGAGAAGATCCATCCTCGTTCTCCTTCGAAACAGGCAGGTCAATCCAATCTTGGGAGTGGAGAAGGGGGCTGTGTCGCAGATGCAGAGATTTCAGCTAAGAAGGGGACACGTCAGCCGACCAGGGATGTTGCTGCTGCCTGGACTTCCAGGGGAAATGAGACTGATGGGAAAAGGAGTGTGGTCGTTGAGCGACGCACCGCGAGTTTATATAGATCGAGGAGGCAGCTGGACGGGCGGTGCTGGACGGCAGATCCCGTTTCGGGATAGTTTCTGACACTAAGCCCGATACAGGCAGGCTAAACCGCAAATGGACGACGCTATGCGGGATACGGCGCGGCGGACACGGACGCCAAACCCAACAGAGGCAGCGGCCCAAGAGGGCAGCGACTCAGCAAATCGCATTTCTACTATTCTTTTCTAAGTTATATATAAACTTGGGCAATGAACATCAAAATCAACACTCAATCTAAACACGTCATTTTAACACATTAATCGATCGAGAAAGGCCCCCTGAGGCCCCAGGAACCGCTATGGAGGTCCCAAACCCCCATAGTGGTGGTCTACCGAGCGCGTCGAGGTGGGCACCCCTAAACGGTGTGCCACTACCACTATTACCACCATTACCAATACCGATATATCGCGGGGGCCCTAGGGTCTTAGATATATCTATAAACCTGGAGCAGATAAGTAGTAGCGAATCTAGTAGAGTCCCAAGTAGAGCCAGCTCTAAAAGTAGTAGAACTACACAGAGCACTCAAAGCAGCCGAAAATAGGGAGAACAAGACCAAATACTCAGATACAGTCTAAACTCTAGAAAATCTCTATATAAGTACTATCAAGCCCTAATAGAATCGCTGGAAAGCCAGGAGCTCGAAAGACAGATAGAACTTGAAATAATACAGATCTATATTAACTAGATAATTAAGACCCAGACAGTACAGTAACAGATCTATAAGTAATAATATAAAGCCCAAATTAAGACTCTAGAAGAGACAGTTCAGAAGCTTTAACAAGCTAAGTTTTTCTTAATAAAGCCAGAACTAAAAACAGTATAGAATAAGCTATTACAGACTTCCCAGACCCCCCAGACTGCCTAGAATAGAAAAGCAGAGTTTTCTATACACAGATCACAAAACAGAGCCGCGTTAAATAATAAGTCTAATAGGCCTGAGACTATATATACAGATATTACAGCCCTACTAAAAACCAATCCGAGAGAATAAAAATAGTAGACAGTTACCAAGAAGTACTATTAAAAGTACTCTAGGATTTAGACTGAAGCACTACCTGAACTGAAAGCTATAAAACAGTCCCCTTTAGAGGCCCGAAGACTGTTTTTTAGGTAAGAAAACAGTTTAGATATATCAAAGATAGAATATAAAGATATTATTCTAGGGCTTAATACTACTCTTACTAAAACAGGACTACCAGATTTCCTACAGATAGTAGATATAGACTATACTCGGACTGGAGCTATATCTATTATTCTACAGAAAGGAGCTCTGAATCAAATGCTATTACCCAGATATATAGATCTATTAATAGTAGCTGTAAGAAAGATAGATTTTACAGTTATCTCACTGGAAATACCAAAGTAATAATATAGACTGAAGATCTATAGAGTCTCTACTAGGCAATACCTCACTCTAGGCCTAGGTCTAGCAAGGCAGGAAATTAAAATAGACAGTACAGTATATCTAAAGCGAGATCCTATATAGCTAAAAAGCTCTAAGGGACTGAGAAATAGTACTCAAAAAGAATCTAGTATTATAATTATAGTAGGATCACTGACAGAGACTCAGCAGATTTAAATAAATAGTATATACTTCGGTGGCTCTAAATATAGGGCTGAGCATTTCTAGAAGCTAGGATCTGATACAGTTTACCTCCGATACTGTGGAATAGGATATAAAAACTATAGGACTTACAGAGACTATCTACCAAAATACTTTATCTGTGCAGATCCCTATAAAGGCTTAAACTATAAATACTCAGTTCTAGACTACTCAGCTAGAGCTGAAAAGATATATTAATATACTCCAGCAAAGTATAGTAACTGCAGAGATAGATATCCTGTACTAGCTACAAACTGTCCTAGTAAGCAGACAGTCTGAAAACAGTAAAATCAAGTATCTACCATCCCACAGAGCTTACTAGTAGTTTAGATAGTTATCAGAATATATCCAAGAAGTATCTCATTATCTGGTAATTCTACTAGGGTAGCTTAGACACCTCTATTGACTATCCCCTGAGACTAGACTATAGAGGATTCTTAGACTCCTAGACTAGTAAGATCTATCAGTATATTCTAATACTGATAGTTCAGTAAAACTGTCGCAGAGCTTATTCTATTACTATAGCAGCCCTGGAAGCAGAGCTCTAGAGATAAACAGATATAATCTATTTACAGAAGCCCTATATTATACAGGAGTTCCGATACTCTACCTATTTACTATATTGGCTATAGAAAGGAGAATATAAATACTATAGAGTACTGATAGTAGTCCAAAAAAATCTTTTAAACTAAAAAATCACTGAAGTCAGAACTAATCTGATTAACTATTTCTATATACTAGCCCTAGATATCTGAAATCTGGATAGAAATAGAAACCGGGTTCAGAGAACAAGAATAGTAAACTGCTATAATAATTGGCTAGATAAAGACTACTGCTGACAAGACTCTAATTCTAAATATTGCCGCGCTATTGAGGATACTGAATAGAATCTACTAGTAGAAAAAAGATATCTAATACTAGGAGATTTCAATACTTATAGTCTTATATAAAATCCCCAGACTAGTTAATATATTAATATAGCACCGCTAGAGAATTTAATTAAGAGATTTAATCTATATATTAATAATAAGCCAGATATTTCTACCAGGTCTAAGCAGACTCCTGGTATCTTAATTATTAATTTAACAATATTAACTCCAGAGCTAGGCTCCTTAACTAGCTGACTAGTTAATAATAAATATCCTACAGAATCTAATTATAAGCTGATATTAGCTGAATAGAAAGAGCTAGAACAAAGACCTGAAAAAACCAATATACAGATAACTGGATAGTAAATTAGAGATTTGGAAGTAGATCCAGAAGTCTTAGAAAATACTAAATAGATATAGAAAGCTCTAGCAGCAAACCAACTTACTCTACTGGATAGCTACAGCAGGGGGGAAGTGGAAAGCGAGACAGTATAGATATAAATAGCTCTGACAGAGATACTAAGTAAATACACAAGGCCTATATAGATAACCCTATTCTCTAAACAATAGTAGGGACTGCAGGTCAAAGCCAGCCGACAAGAATATATACAAGCCAAACAGATATAGGTAACAGATCTAGACACTAATCAGAATATAAAGAGAGCCCGGAATAGCTACTATTAATCTATTAAAAAGACAAAGCGCGAATACTAGAAGACCTTTCTAATAGGATAGTTAAGCAAGGCAGAGACAGAGTATAAAGAACTAGAGTCTAAGGACTTAACCCGATACTGGCAGATACTAAGATACTGTAAATCTCTAACTACCAGAACTATACCAGTACTCAAAGACTCCCAGGGACAGTAAGCAACTATCCTAAATACAAAAAAAGCTCTGGTTAGGGAAGTCCTATTTTCTAAAGCTCCTAGGAGTAAGGCAATAGAGATAATCTCTCAGAGTACTATATATCTACAGATAAACTATAATATAGTTTAAAAAGCCCTCTTTAGTCAGGCAGTTCAAAAGGCACCCGGAATAGATCGTCTCAATTTCCAGACACTGAGACTACTATAGAGCTGGGATTCTACACAAATAGTAGCTTTAGTACACCAGTACTTCAGACTAGGACTATACCCACAGGTATAGAAGACAGCAAAGGGGATCCTACTACACAAGCCTAATAAGCCTGACTATTCGATAGTCAAGGCCTACAGGGTGATCAGTTTACTAAACTGTATAGAGAAAATAGTAGAAAAGATAGTAGCAGAAACTATCTCTAGCTACTGCAAGACAGCCGGTATTCTACATCCAGAGCAAATAGACAGCCGAAAACAACGCAGTACAGTTAATACAGTAGCCTACCTAATTCAAGAAGTACACTAAGTATAGGGCTAAAAGCAGCTGGTTGGAGCCCTTTTTATAGATATAAAGAGGGCCTTTAACCACATAAATACTATAAGACTAGTGAAGCAAATACTAGATCTAGACCTAGACAGAGATCTATATTGCTGGGTACAGTTATTTCTAGCAGATCGCAGAATATAGCTGGTTATCGACCAACAGCAGTATCCTGTACAGGCTATAGATACAGGGGTCCTACAGAGTTTACCAGTTTCCCCGATTCTCTTTATTATCTATCTAGGAGTGATCTTTTAAGCTATTAAATAAGCAGTTCCTGGTATCAGAGCTATATCTTTTACAGATAATATAGCCCTATTAATATCAGCTAACTCGGTACAAAGAGTCTGTCAGAACCTAGAACAGGCAGCTAAGATTACTATAGAGTAAGGCAGAAAACAAGCAGTTCAGTTCGATACTGAAAAAACTAAGACAGTTCTTTTTACTAGAAAAAAGGATAGATTACTTAAAAATTAGATACAGCAAGCAAAGATCTAGATAGAAGAATACAGGGTTGTCTTTAACTCTAAGATTACACAGTGACTAGGAATATAGCTAGATAGGGGTTTGACCCTTAAAGTATACTATTATATCTGTCTACACAAAGCCCGCAGGGCGGAGGCACAGATACAAAGTCTATACCGAGACCAAAGGCTATTACCAGGTCTTGTCCAACATATTCAAGTAGCTACAGTACAAGCGGTTACACTATATAAAGCAGAGCTTTGGTAGCAGAGTCAAAATAATAAACTAAAAAAAATCCAATATCTAATCAATTGACAGGTATACGCAATTATAGATATACTGAGAACTACACCTATTAAACTACTTATTAAAGAAGTAGCTCTTTCTCCAGTAATAGTACTACTAGACAAACACCAGAGACAATATAGCCTAAGACTATTAGAACTACCTGAGAGATATCCAATACAAGTTATACTGCCTATTAGCTTCTGTAATAGTAACTGCTATGTACAGCCCGGGGAACAGCTCTCAGATAATCAAATATAGGCTGAAGGCCCTAAGACACAAAGTCTATAGAATCTAGGACAG